TTTTATGTCAGACAGTTAAAGTTACAGAGTTGGAAATGAATCCAGTTTAGTCTAGGATTTTTTTTTTTTTTTTTTTGGCGTATTAAGCTGAAAAGTAGCAAAATGAGCGGAATTAGAGCTTTCTTTGAAATGAAAATTAAAATTAACTACTACAAATGTTGAAAATGGTTATAATGGAAACACTTCGATTTGAAAAGCGCAATAGGAAATACTAATGCAATATTTTATAAATGCATGTTCTTTTCACAATTTATTCAATATTACAATCACAATTTTTTCAATATTATTAGAAAGAAAGAAAAAAAATTGAAAATTGCTATTTATATTTTATAAGCATTTTACTTCAAAAAATTTCATACAAGCAAATGAAATATTAAATAATGGATTATTGATTACATCTAAATATAGTTAAAGGTTTCAAAAATCCTTACTGGTTAAAAAAAATTTCTGAACTCTGGGAACACCTTAAGCTCTTCCATGGTGCCCTAAGGTTCTGCGGAACACCATTGAACAGCTGTTCTTGTAGAGAATCCATATTCATCAGACTCAATTAATCATTGGACGAAATTAAAATGAGGTATCATGATTATATCATACGAATATATGCAAATAATTGAATAAATAATGGATTATTGATAGGAAAGAAATATAATAAAAGGTTTCAAAATTCCTTACTGGTTAAAAAAAAAATCTGAACTCTCGGAACACCTTTAGTTCATCCATGGAGCCATAAGGTGTCGCGGAACACCATTTGGGAGCCGCTATTCTTGCAGAGAGTCCATATTCATCAGACTTAATTAATCATAGGAAGAAATTAAAATGAGGTATCATGATTATTTAATATTAATATACGCAAATGAAATATTAAATAATTAATTATTGATTGGAATTAAATACAATAAAAGGTTTCAAAAATCCTTACTGATTAAAAAAAAATTTCTGAACTCTCGGAACACCCTTAGTTCATCCATGGAGCCACAAGGTTTCGCGGAACACCATTTGGGAGCCGCTGTTTTTGTACAGAGTTCATGGTCATCAGACTCAATTAATCATTGAAAGAAATTTAAATGAAGTATGATTATTTCATAACAGCATTAGTTCTTTCTTGTGACGAAATTTTAATCTATGCATTGAAATATTTTATTGTAATTTGAAAAAACTTCATAACCTTAAGATAACTGGAACAGGGTGGCAACAATTGAGAAAAATTTAAAAAGAGGTAACAAATGTTACATGAAGCTGTTGAAAATTTAATAAGTTTAAATTTCATTCTAATTTTACGAATTCAACTGTGCAGTTTTGACATCTAGAAACATTTCATTTGATTTACAATTGGTCAGGGCTCGTATATAATGAAAAAAATTAAAAAGTGGTATTAATATTAAAAATTACATTTTCATTACAATCAGACTATTTTAATAACTCTAAATATACCTAGATTCGTGATTTTTATTTCAAAAGGGAAAGATAATTCTAAGATACTTTCGATTTATTTAGAACAAAATGAATATCACTTTTTATCTTTCACCAGGTGTCTACAGACCCTGAATTCCGTAGACAGAAACAATTTGTTTATTTCATTTTTTACTATCACTTTTCAAAATGTTTCCCTAACTACTTTTGTTCTACTTCTAAAATATACTTAAAACACGATTGAAATATTAAGTTGTTGAGAAAGTAATTTTGTTTCCTTTTTTTTTTCTTATGCGAAATAAAACTTTACTTTACCTAAACAAAAAATAAAATTTAATCAGTTAAATATACATTAACATTTCTTTTTGTTCTATGATCTTTTCCCACCTTTTTGGTAACTTCATGATCCTGCGTTCGTAGAATTTCTGGTCCTTATCAGCAAAAAACCTTAACCAAGTGTCATTGGTTTTACTAAAAATTTTTAAGTTTTGAGAACGTAAACATAAATGATAATTTGATGATGTTAGGTTGAGGCTATATATACGCACGTTTTACTAACGATGCGCAAAGCCTATCATTGTCATTGTGGAAACACGATTCCTTTGCCATCCTCTATTTAACCCCGATCTACCACCATTTGATTATTGTTTTTGATAAGTTTACAAAATTTTTAAATAGTAAGAATTTGAGTGATAACGATTACTTTGAATCGTATTTGGTTCAGATTTTTTCTGAGAACGGGGTCAGAAGAACTATGGGCAAAAGATTATAAAGTTACCAAAAAGAAAGGCAAAAGATCACTGAACCGAATAGAAGATATTTGACCAATTAAGTTCTATTTTTGTATAAAAAATTGAGTTTGATTTCACTCGAAAATACTTTCTTGAGAATACATCAATTAATTAGAGCAAGCATTATTTTAAATTACCAAGTCAGAAACGAAAATATACTTTCATTGAGGAAACATGTTTTTTCCCCCATTAGATTTCGATTCCATCAAATTTTCCCGCGTCTTAGAGGCAAGGAATTCTATAATTCCTAAAATGTTAAAAACTATATTAGATAAATTACAATAAATTTAATTGACCAAAACTGTCCATTATTAACAGACGTTAAAAGACTTCCATAATGTATTTGTTGTTTATAATATTTTTGAATTTCTAATAAAAAATAGTAATAGACTTTTCACACAGGCTTGGCAGTATTGACAAGTAGCATAAGACAACAATAACTTATTTAAATACTCAATCAAGCAATAAACTGAATAAAAAATCTATTTTCATAGAGATTTTTTTCCGACACTTTTCCCATTTCAGGAGAATTTTTCTGCAGGAAAAAAATCCATAAGATAAGCTCAGGAGATTGTAGTGAACTTTGCAACAAGTCTACCTTCGACCTAGGTATGTCACCAAATAGTGCTGCAGATCAGGATGCAAACAACTTCTTCTGGAAAAACTTGCTTACCATAACCTCAAAGGATGTAAAGTTTGAAAATAACCTTTCAGAACACCATGCATATATTAAGACAATTATTATAATTCTACATATTTTAAGCTCTACACACTGTTTTTTTTTTAAAAAAAATTAATAATTCTACTAGGGGGCTAAGCCACCTGTTCGCTAACACTCACCAACCCCAATGATCACTTCACAATAATTGTTCATTGGCACAAAACAGTTGAAATTATTCAACTAAACATATATAAATATATACTAAAAAGAACACTCGTGCCCCCACATTTCAATATGTCCTTTATGATACTATTAAGATCGATTAGTGGACCTAAATCTTTTTTTTGAAATCTAACTATAAATATATAACACTTATAATTAAAAGTATATTATTGTAACGAATTTGGTGAGTTCACATCTGACATTTAATATTTTTGCTTACTAAATAGACGGATATATTTTATACTTAATGTTTGCATTTATTGTGCATGAAGCTAAAAGTTAAGTTCTAAATCATTGAACGAGTCTCTTTAACCGTAATTCATTTAGTTCATTAATTTAATTTGCACCAAAAAATAATAATTGTAAAATGGTTAGTAAGATCGGACACCGATTATAAATAACATTATCTTCAAATGTAAAGTAGAATTACGTTATTCTAGAAATAACAATCCTCTTAAATTCTTAATTTAGAAAACAAACATAATTGAAAATGCTATAATAACAGCACAGCCTTTAATTAGGGGTGCAAAAATATTTATAGGAAAACAATACCTTTATGACTTATATCAATTTTATGCTGATAACAACTAAACCAATATGAAAATTAATGTTGGAAAACTGGATTCTACTATGTGATTTTCCGGCGAATAAAAATACACCATCAACAATGGAAAACTGCGACACCATCATTAGATTTTCATGTTTAGTTAGATATTAATTATTTAACCTTCCTCAGAAAGCAAAACCCTGTCTGATAGAATATTCACTAATATTTCAACTAACATTTGATAAGAGATGTAATTTATAACTCTTTTTTTGTCTCTACTGTAAAATTTCTGAAAATAGAAAAGTTAAGAAAATAATAGAAAAGTTAAGAAAATAGAAAAGCTATTTTTGCAATACAATACATTGCAGTACAACACATTACTTTTAAACAATGCATACCACGTGAAAAAATAGATTAAAAACTTTTATTAATAAAATATATATTTCACTGAAACAATGTTTAAATATGTATAAAATATGCATTTCTATACATTTTTATAAATGATTAACAAATTAAACTTAAAATGTTTTTTTACTACCTTACACAACTTCTGATANATTTAATATTTTTGCTTACCAAACAGACGGATATATTTTAAACTTAATGTTTGCATTTATCACTTTGTGCATGAAGCTAAAAATTAAGTTATAAATCATTAAACGAATCTCTTTAACTATAATTCATTTAGTATATTAATGTAATTTGCACTAAAAAATAATAATTGTAAAATGGGTAATAAGATCGGACACCGATTATAAATAACATTATCTTAAAATGTAATAATAATAATAACAACCGTCTTAAACTCTTAATTTAGAAAACAAACATAATTGAAAATGCTATAATAACAGCTTAGCACAGCCTTTAATAAGGGGTACAAAAATATTTATAAGAAAACAATACCTTTATGACTTATATCAATTTTATGCTGATAACAACTAAACCAATATGAAAATTAATGTTGGAAAACTGGATTCTACTATGTGATTTTCCGGCGAATAAAAATACACCATCAACAATGGAAAACTGCGACACCATCATTAGATTTTCATGTTTAGTTAGATATTAATTATTTAACCTTCCTCAGAAAGCAAAACCCTGTCTGATAGAATATTCACTAATATTTCAACTAACATTTGATAAGAGATGTAATTTATAACTCTTTTTTTGTCTCTACTGTAAAATTTCTGAAAATAGAGAAGTTTAGCTATTTTTGCAAAAGTACAATACATTACTTTTAAACAATGCATACCACATGAAAAAATATATTAAAAACTTTTATTAATAAAATATATATTTCACTGAAACAATGTTTAAATATGTATAAAATATGCATTTCTATACATTTTTATAAATTATTAACAAATCAAACTTAATTTTTTATTTATTTCATTACACAACTTCTGATATGTATAGTATTAATATAAAGTTTTAAAATTATCACATAAAATAGACATCACATCTATTCTAAAAATCACAAATTATCAATCTATATCACAGATATATTCGAAATAAAAAACTCTCAATCATCTTTTCAATCCTAACAATCAACTTTTTTAGAGGGATTGTTATTTTTTTATGTTTGGTGCAATTAATCCTTTTTCTTTGCTTGAACAAATTCATAAACATCTGCAATATCTTCGGGGCTGGTTCTGCAGCATCCACCAATTATTTTAGCATTTGCTGCAACCCATTCATTTAAATAGACACGATTTGGATTCACTTTCTCTCCTTTCCACCTAAGAAAGAAAACAGTTACAGTTCAGTTAAAAAATCTTTTTCAAAATAAAAAGATGCAGATATGCAATTATTGTATTGTTTAACACAAAATAAGACTTTGCAGAAATTTTTTTTTTTATTCAACTATTTTAAATTCAAAAATTAAATTTTTTATACACACTTAAAATGCATAAATTTTGACATTATAAATAGAAGACTTTTGGATAAAACATTCTATACACACAAGGCATGGTTATTAATTTCCAGGATTGATCTAATAATTCATATTAATAACATGAGTCCTGTGGCAGAATCGCAGCAACATTGTTGCAGAACTCTTGCAGAAAAAATTTTCTACTAAAAAGCAAAAAATTTTAATTTTCCTTTCTACTGAAATTTACAGGTAATATTCAAATCTGTATTTTCGGCAGTTGTTGATATTGATTTTCACATGTTTTTTTAAATATCCCGATATATTTCAAACAATATGGAAAATTCGAATTGTGCAATATTAAGGCAATATTTCGATTCAATTTTTGGCAGTTATTGATATTGATTTCTCCATAGTTTTTAAATCAGATATTTTTTATGCAATATTATTTATTACAACAGCCTAATCTCGAAACCAAACAAGCATTTGAAGAATCAGATTCGCATGATTTTGCTGTCATCGTTTTTAGGCAATTACTACTACGGATTTCATGATTTTTAGTTTTTTTTAATTGTGATTTAAAAAATGTGAAGAAGGAAATAATTTGTGCACCCCCCCCAACAAAATGAAAGAATATCACCCATAATATTAGAATAAAAAATTATTATTCAATTGAAAAAAATATTTTATAGTTTTTCTTTTTTTTTTGTAAACATAGAGTTTTTGTTATTTTAAATTGGTAACATTCATGTTTGTTATTATTAAAATTATCTTGCAGAATGATAAGAGAGTTTTGCTGCAGATAGCTCGAAAAAATTCTGCCACAGGAATCATGAGAATTATATATCCAGAATATCCTTATCTTAATTGAATGTATTACTATAACTGGCTGTTAAAGTTACAGAAACATTTTTTTTATATTTCTTTCATTAGGATACTTTTCTGATACTCTTACTGCCTTCCTCTTTAAGCCTCATTTTTTCAGTAACTTTTTTAGTCTAAAAATCAAAAAGTAAGTAAGAGATTTGTCCAAAGAATATAGTTAATGATTTACATTCACAACATTCAAAACTAAAAAACTTTTGTGAATGCGGTTTAAGGATGTCTAAGTCAATACGAAAGCTCCAAAGTCACAACTGAAGAAATTCTGACTAATCATTTTAAAAGTTGTTTACGAAAGTTTTACATCCAAGTACATCCAGGGAGTGGACAAAATAATGGAAGTACTTAATACTGATAATTCTTTCATATTTTTTCAAAAAATACTAAAATAATTATTTTATAGCTTAAGTGTTTTGATCATGTGATTTCTCATACTTATCAATGAAGTTAAAAGCTTTTAGAGATTTGTAGGACCAACAATAAATTAAAAACGACAAAAAGTGTTTTTGTACACTCTATGTCAAAAAATGTATCAATAAATTTGTGACTTATAGAAATTATTTTAGTTATTAATTTGCAATAAGTGCAAAAACTTTGCAAGCCTAGCCTAAATACTTATGGCAATATAGACACTTTTATAAAAAATAAAAAATTTTGTCTTAAGTTTTTTTGCTTTATAACTTTAAAAATATTCTATAAAATTAAACAAAATTTTTAGAAAAATTTAAAATTAGTTAGAAAATTATTATTTTAAAATTTGAGAAAAATTCATTTAAAATTACACAAAATATGAGTAACTAAAATAGTTCTTTTATAATGCTCATGCACGCCAAAAACTTGAATTTTTTTTCCCCTTCATTTTGTAAAAAATTGTACAAGGCAACTAATAAAAAAAAATCAGATTTGAATACCTTAAAAATTTAAAAAGTTTTAAACAATTGTCTAAGTAGTTTTTGTACTTTTTAAAAGAAACTCAAAATGATAAGAGACATTCTACAAACATAATTTTGTATCATAAGACAAAATTAAATAACAAATGATAATGCCCTATAATAAACGTTCATACACGAAACATGGAAATATGATTTATGGAGAGAAAACAGACGAAAGAAAAGTTACTTTTAGGAGGATGATCCCCAGTGTCATTTTTAATAAATCTTATTTAATTGTACAAAATGAATGTGGAAAACCCTTATATTTTGAGCTTCTTTTAAAAAGTACAAAAACTACGAAGAAAATTGCTTTAAACTTTTTAAGATATTATAATTGGACTTTTTTTTTAGTTGTCAAATACGCTTTTCTGCAAAATTAAGAAAAAAAATACAAATTTTCCCCTCACATGCACAAAAAGAACTACTTTAATTACTCATATCTTGTGTAATTTATACGAATTTTTCTCATATTTTAAAACTAATTTTTTTTAACTAATTTTAAATTGCTTTAAAAATTTTGTTTAATTTTGTTGAATATTTTGTAGCAAAAAAAAGTTGTCGCAAAAAAAAAGGCAAGGCAAAAAAATTAGCTTTTATAAAAAAAGTCCACATCTCTTTAAATATTCAAGCTAGGCTCACAAAATTTCATGTAATTATTGCATATATTAACTAAATAATTGCTACGAGTTACTAATTTATTGCTACATTTTTGGATATAGGGTGTTCATAAACACTATTTTATGCTTGAGATTTATTTTTGGTCTCTATACCTCTAAAAGCTTTAAACTTCATTGATAAGTTTGAGAAATTGCATGATCTAAACAGTTGTGAAATTATAAAATGGTTCTTTAAGCATTTATTGAAAAATATGAAAAAATGTATTAGTATAGAAAGGTTTTCATTATTTGTCCACCTTTTGTACATTAACTTGTATTTATGTATAAAATATCAGTAAAATATGCAGAAATTTATGCATAAAACATCAATTCTTAACTTTTTTTAAAAGAAGTTTGATATAACAATGATAGATATTTACATAAATAACAACTAATTTTAAACAAAATATTAAGAACAAGACACATACACACATTTTTGTTAGCAAATGATTCTAAAAATACAGTGTTTAATTTTAAACTTTTGCTTTTAAATGAAATATTAAAAGTAAAGATATATAGCGGAAAATGAATCGTTAAAATAAATGTGGTTTTCAAGTGAACATAACTTAAACTATTGTACTAAAATATTTGAATATATCTTACTTTATTTTTAAAGTTACTTCTCTTTACTTAGTTCTTACTTTATTATTTTTAGTTCTTACTTTATTAAAAACACATTCTAAAATATAAAAGCAAAAATGATTTTTTCTTTCTTTTTTCAAGCAAAGCTTTTAAACTTTTGCGTCTGAAAACACAATATTATAGCCAAGGCATATTATGGGTTATAAATGAGTATATGAAATTGAGATTCTCAATAACCATGACTTACTAATTGTTGCTTTAAAATATGCAACTTGCCATTAAAAAAATATTTTGATGCATCTTATTTTAGAAAAGAATCTTTTTAAAATCAGAAAGGGGGAAAAAGAATTTTTTACTAAATGGTATGATTAAACTTTTTTTTTTTTTTTGAATAAAATATATCATAAAAAAGACATATTTTGTGCTATAATTGGTTAAAAGAAATTTAATTTCTCAATCAAGATTGCTTAGAATATGCTTTTTTAAAATAATGAGTCGTTTAAAAAATATCTCGACACTTCTTATTTAAAAAAATACTTAAAAATGAGAAAATAAATTTAAACCAAGCACTTTAATTTATAATTTTTGACTTTTCTATAAAATATATTTCAGCAAGACACATTTTGGGTAAAAAATTGTTAAAACTAATATTAGTTTGCATAAATTCAAACTATTGTTACAAAATAACTTAGTTAAAAAATATTTTAATGCATCTCGTTTTATTAAAAAAAATATTTCAAAAGGAAGAAAATTGCAATTGATAGATTGAATCTATAAATAACACCATCTTAATTTGAAATTTTTTGTATGATAATAAAACCATACAGAAAAATAATAAAACCGTACATTTTTCAGTTATAAATGTTTGTAGAAATGGTTGATAAAATTTGAAAGTACCCTCTGATAGAAAATGTGAGAAGTTTGTTGTACAGGACACGGATTGCAAAAAATAATTTAAGAAAGTTATTTGATAGTGAAATTATAACTAGCCATTTAGTTAACATTAAATAGATGTTGTTGCTTATTCTCATCTGGTCTGACAAAGTCGGACCATATCTATGAACCCGTTGACCTGAATCAAATTGAAGACCAAAAGAGGAAAAGAGTAGATGTCCTCCCAGAGAAGGCCAAGACAGTCAAGGATATGATTGGCAGAAGCCTGGTGTAGATAGGATTTAGGGCAGAGGGGGTAGGTTTTAGTTCCTTCAGGAAATAGTAAACCTTTTCGATAACCGGTAGCAAGGCGGGAGAGGGTGTTGCAGACTCTCCTTTCAAATGGAAGAGTCAAAGAAACACTACGCTTATTTTGTACCAATGGTGGGTGGGGGGAATCAGCCAGTCCCTGAGAAGCTGGGATTTCTTTAGGGAGTAAAGTTCAAGATAGGTGAGATCAGAAGAGGTAGGGTGTGAATGGTTGCAACCCTCTTTAGTCAGGCTGTCTGCCAAGTCGTTGCCATAGAGACTTATACATTAATTTATAATTATACAAAAGCATAAATAATATCACAAAATATAATGCTATGATAGTATAAATGATTATTAATATACCAGATCAAGAACATTAGATAACTATTTATATGGGACTTCATTTAGCCACTTGTAGTTATTGCAAGTAGATTGACCATTTTTTCAAGGAAATTATTCTAAGTTTAGGTAATAACAAAAAAAATTAAAAAATGCAGTACTCTAACACTTCTCTGATTTTTTTTCTTCAAAAATTAGACTCTCTATAACTGTATTAAAACATAAAAGTTAACCACTTCCCTGATTGTCCCGAGTTAACTTGGGTATGTATGTATTGCAAATATTTATTATCC